CAGTTGCAAGCCTGCCAGAACCCAGCCAGCAGACCCTGCACCTAGCACGGCACGAACCAGCCACCCGCTGCCACCCAGCCCTCCACCTCTTCCCAGGACCAGGCTGGCGGCTCACAGGAGCCTGTCCGGGTCGCAAAAGGTGGGCACCCGCCTGGTCTAGTGTGGAGATCGTGGACCTCATCGGGACTTGGGGGGAGGCCTCCAACATCCACGATCTCCACACTAGATGTGTTATTTTGAATTAGCTTATTTCAAATTAACTAATTCGAAATAAGTTAGTTCGAATTAGTTCTGTAGTGTAGGCATACCCCTAGGGAGCAGTCCCTGCATTCTCTAGACGTGAGGAGGGCCTTTGCTTTCTACATCGATAGAATAAGAGAGTATAGGAGGTTACCACAACTCTTTATTTCTACAGAAGAAAGAATATGGGGTCTTCCGGTGTCGGGCCATTGCTTGTCTTCATGGATCACCTCCAGTATCAGGGCCTGTTATGAACTTGCAGGGCAGACAGCACTCCCACTTACGGCCCACTCCACGAGGGTGCAGGCCTCATCGATGGCATTTGTCGCACAAGTGCCAATCCTTGAGAAGTGCAGGGTGGCCACATTGTCCTCCATCCATATATTTACAACCCATTATGCAATTGCACAGCAGGCCAGGGACAACGCAGGCTTTGGTAGGGCTGTGTTGCAATCCGTTGCAGAGTAAGGTTCTGACCCCACCTCCTGTAGTACTGCTAGGGAGTCCCCTAACTGGAACTGACATGAGCAAGCACTCGAAGAAGAAATAATGGTTACTTACCTTGTAACTGTTATTCTTCGAGATGTATTGCTCATATCCATTCCAAAAAACCTCCCCTTTGTTGGAAGACTACGGCAAGAAGGAACTGAGAGAGTGGAGGGCCAGCAGTGGTATATCTGCACCAATATGCCGGCGCCACTCCAGGGGCCTCCTAAGGGAAAAAAGCTTTGGCATCCATACATGCGGCACGTACACATCTAACTGGAATGGACATGAGCAATACATCTTGAAGAACAACAGTTATGAGGTAAGTAACAGGTTTTCTTTGTAGTTTTGAGTTTTTTAGTTTTTTTGTAGTTAGTCTCGTTATCTAAGCTTGGACCAAAATTAGAGAACAACAATAAGCCATTTATATACAACTCAGCTCAATTAACTGCAGTCAAAATGGGTTTTCAGAGGGATTTAAAGGTGCTTTGTTGATGAGCCAGGTAGGAAGGGCTGTTCTTTCAGTTAAAGAACAATCTTAACAAAACTATAGAATGTTTTGAGGGAGGGGGAGAGATGCAGAGCAGGTTGAACCTCTCTAGTCCAGCAACCTAAAGGACCTGAGCGGTGCTGAACCAGAGAATTTGCCAGACCACAGGAGGTCAATATTGTCTAGCAGCATTACCAACATTTCCACTGCTTACTGCGCTCTTAGAAGACATTTAGGAGTAAATTAGAGCTAACTAACAGCACAGAACACAGAGTGCTTGGTCTGGTGGCTGTAAACAAACTTTATGGGACCACAGGAAAGTTGGATCACACCCATGGTAGTGGACATTTGTCTAACTAAAATCATGCCAGATCATGGATGTTGGCAGACCAAAGAGTGCCAGACTAGAGAGGTTCAATCTGTATGGGTATGTCTACACTAGCTCATTAATTCGAGCTAAGTAGGCAAATGAGGCGACTGGAGTTGCAAATGAAGCCCAGGATTTAAATATCCCGGGCTTTATTTGCATGTTCCCGTCCGGTCGCCATTTTGAAATTTCACTAGCGCCAACTCCACGAGGAGTAACAGTTAGTTCAAATTAACGTTTCACTGCTGCGTGTAGCAGCGTGGCAGTGAGTTCGGGCTAGTGAAATTTCAAATGGCGACCGGACGGGAACATGCAAATAAAGCCCGGGATATTTAAATCCTGGGCTTCATTTGCAACTCCTGTTGCCTCATTTGCCTGCCTAGCTCGAATTAACGAGCTAGTGTAGACATACCCTATATGATTCTATCATACCTTCTGCCAGATGGAGCTGGCAGCAGCCTGGGCCAGGTTCAATAGCTAGGGATTTGTTTTCAATATAATACATAAACAGCTTTAATTCCCACCTATTAACCTGGTACAATTTTACACTACCCCTGGGCACGTCTGAGTGCACTACTTCCCAGCTTGCAAGCACAGAGTCTGTGTATGGAAAAGAAGTGATGTCACCTGACATTAGAGAAAATGCCACAAGCAGGATACATATTTATAAAACTCTGAGCAGAATACCCACCCAAGAGGGCATGAGTCTGGGCCTCAGCTTCATGTTCTAGAGTTCTACAACCAACTTTTCTTTGCCCCTTGCTGCTTCCCCACCATACCTCACTCACAGTGGCTGTGCTTGGTTTGTGAGAACCAGGGGTTCAGAGGTGCACTTCCCACCTGTGAGTTTACTTCCCATTTGTGGGAGAAGCACCATGCATGCTTCGCCGACTGAGCACTTGCTAATCGCAGTTTCTCTCCCTGGGCTGCTCGCCAACTATTTGTTCTGCTTGTCTGCTCACCAGCCACTTGTTCCGTTCACTCATTTGTGGGTTGATTATCGGTCAGCCACCTTCTGCTGCCACCTGCTTCTCTGTTGTGACCTCTGCACATCAGTCTCTTAAGAATTTTTTTCAGCTCTCTGCAAACTGGACAGAAACACTGCTCTACCAGAAAGACAGTTCCCGCTAAGCTACATGGCAGCACGGCTCCACAGCTGCTTAATCAGCCCTGCCCAGAGGCTCAGGGCTGCTGCGCACGGAGCAGCCTGGCTGGGGGAGAGGCACTTTTCCTTCAGCTAGAGCAGCAGCTCCCTGATGAGGACAGAGCATCTAGTCTCTCCCAGCCAGTAGGGACACATCTTAAAGTGATGTGGAGGGTGGGTCAAAAGGCCAGCAGGGAAGAAATGGGGCCAGAGCCTTTCCTCTTCCAGTTCCAGTCACACTGTCTTCCTGGGATGTTGCCCAATGCATTGGCTGCTCCCTCCAAGGCAGCTGCTTTGCTGCACAGGGGAGGGGATGGAGAAAACATGAGTGGGTCAGGCTGGGGGCAGAAATAAATCATGAGGGTGCCATGTGGGGGGTTGTGTTCTTCTCCCAGCTGGGGCCCTTTTTATGTCCCTTCCACTAGTCACACCTGCTTCTGCTTCTCGCTGAGGTAGATTAATTTAGGTGATGGGACAGTGCTCTTCCATTAGCATAGAATGTCTTCACCAGATGCACTGCAATGGCACAGCTGTGCCAATGTAGCAATGCAATATAGACTTCCTACAGAATCAGTTTGTCCATCTATCTGTCAGACCTCCACTCTCCTCTGAACTCTAACAGGGGTGGTGACCTTCCAAGGAGGTTCAAGTCCTCTACCTCTTCACAATGCTCTTGCTCATAAGCAAGATTGGAAGGGGGAATTTGTTTAAATGGAGACTGTTCCCATGTGTTTGCTGCAACCCACAATCCTGGCATTTGTTTGAGTCAATTAACATAAGACCTTGGGGAAAAAAATCTCACAAGCAGTTATTAAAGGAAGGTGTAATTATTGACTTTGGATTAATTGAAAATGTGTGCTCTAAAAGTAGCAGTTGAGCTCCATTCTGATTAATTGCTTTCTCACATATTATGGAAGTTGCAAAAAGTGCTTGTTCTACAGACAGAAGAGGGAACATGTCTAATGATTCTGCTGAATGTTTATAACATAAATCCGTAACTGCAATACTAAAAGGCTTTGCAGTGCTATAATCAGATTATAGACAAACTTCCATGGGATTCCTTCATTCAAAAAGAAAATAGAAGTTCTTTAAGAACTGGAAGGATTCTAAGGGGAAATTGGATACTTGGATAATTAATTTTATGAATAATGTACTTTTTAAAAATTGAATGACTTATCAAAACAATACACCAAATTCTGTACAAATGTGTAAATATGTTGTCTAAACTGTCACTTGTCAAAATAATCATTTCCACCCGATCACTTTGGATCTCAGAGAGACATGGGTAAAAAATGTTTGTGAAGAAAGACAAGCTTTTATTAAACTTTCAATAGAGCAGTGCTTGCCAGAGCTACTGAGAGAGCAGCCTGTGTCCAAGTTAATAGCCTTCCTAAAACAAGGCCCTATGCTGTGTCTAGTCACATTTGGAAATCGTTTTTAGCAACATTTTTATTTGCACCTCTGTTATGCCTTCCTTCCAAGGCAGAGGCAGCAGCTTTTCAGAAATCTTGGTGGTACCCAGAATGCCCACTTAAACTCCTCCCCCCCCCAACACACCTGCCTCAGGCTCTAGGAAGGAGTTTGGGTACAGGAAGGTTGCAGGCTCTGAGAAGGTGTTTGGGTGCTGGGTGTGGGCTCTTGCCTGAGGTAGGGGTGCAGGAAGAGATTCGGGCTCTGGGAGGGAATGTGAGTGCAGGAGGAGGTGAGGGGTGAAGGCTCTGCAGTCGTGGGAGGGACGATATCTCCGTGCACTGGGATCTAGGTAGGTAATCTGCCCAGTGCGCTGCTGGGGAAATCAGAAATTCAGAATTTGCTGCTCTGGGGTAGCTGACTAGGATGGGCATGGGGATGTCAGGAGTTCTAGGGTTCACAGCTATACACTTTGGTCAGGGTTTATACACTTGATCAAAGGTAGTACATGTACCTCTACCTGAGCTGGAAATTACAGCTTCAGCATAGGTGTGTTTCTGCCTTTACCCAGTCTGCTCATGCTCAAGTTGCAATTTGAACACATGCACTTGGGGTTTCTGGGTGTGCACTGAACCAGACTTATGAAAGGTCCACTCCTGGTGGCAATAACACTTGCAATTCTTTTAGAAGATTTTGTTATACGTTGCTAAAACAACATTTAAAACGAGATAAGTGCTTGGAAGTCCCATGGAATTAATGTCTAATAAAAACATATAATTCACTGATATCAGGAAGTAATGAAAAGATAAGTATCCGTTCCAGAGAAAGCAAACAAACAACTTCTACTTTTTCTTTTCTCACAGAGCAGGCTTGCCATAAGGAAGCCCAGCACCATCCTTGTTTCTGTGAGGTCCCAGTGTACAAGGAAGTAATAGTTAATAAACAACACTCTCTACAAGATTGAGAGAGCCAGAGAGAGCTGTGCTGCTGAAAAGCAGGTGTGCTTCATGAATAAACTATAGCATGTTACCCGGTGGGTACTAATGAAACAAACAGAAGTTTCGCAGCCATGGATAATACAAAGGCTCAAGACACGATTCCACAGGTAAAGGCAGAAATTGTTATTGCTTATGTAAAATGTGTGTGTTGTGCATAACTGAAGAGATAGCCTTGCAAAAACTGAGAACAAATTTGTATTGTGTTGGCAGGGAATTTACAGAAGGATTGCTTAGGGTAGTATCAGAGGGGCAGCCATGTTAGTCTGAATCGGCAAAAGTGGCAAGGAGTCCTGTGGCACCTTATAGACTAATCGAAGTGTTAAAGACGAAGTGGGTCTTTGCCCATGAAAGCTTATGCTCCAACACCATGGTTAGTCTATAAGGTGCCAGAGGACTCCTCGCCGCTTTTAGGGTAGTATGTGATACAAACCTTCATTGGGTAGTATGTGATACAAACCTTCGCTGCTTAATATGTAATACTAGCAACTGTATACCCTAGGGGGAGTAAGTATGTAACACCTGTCACAGGAACTCTGCTTCTATAATCTTAAAAGAGCTAAATAAGCAAGTTTCTATTGTTATAAAAATAGCTGTTAAATGTAATGAACATTGGTAGAAATAGCGAGATTCTCTGTCAAATCATTTAACAAGAAATCCTTCAAAGAATTTAGAACCTGTAGGATATTTGCACTGAATACCACAATATACAGAGAAAGTGGAACACATGAATCAAAATGGTTTCTGTTCAATGCAGATAAGCTCCCTGAATACCAGATTCATACCTAGTATAAGTGGCTGCAACTCCGCCAAAGGCAATAAAGTTTCACACTGAAACCAGGTTTGAATTATCCCATCGTGGCTGCCAGATGTATGTCCCTGTAGTATAAAGTCGGGTTCGGATGGTGATGTTATAGTTACAAGAACTTCATGTTTAATTGGATTAGGCCCAGAGTCAGACCCAGATCATAAATGGCCAGTGAAAAATTTCCCTTGTGAAGAGGACAGTGATGGTCTATCTCAGGGGTCAGCAACTTATAGCATGCATGTCACAAGTGGCACATGAGCCGGTTTTTCAGCGGCCCACGGGCGGAAGGTTAACCCCACCCCTCCTCCCCCGCGCTGCCGCTGGAGAGACCTCCCTCTTCCCCACAGCAGGTTAGGCTGTAGTGGGAGGAGGCAACACTGTGGCTGAGGCTCCTCAGTGGCACCTCCAGGTCTGGCCCAAGACTGCGTGTCCGCAGCAGGGACGCCTCTGGGGCTGGCCTGGGACCACATGGCTGCAGCAGCAGGACCTCTGGGAACAGTCCCAGACTGCTTGGCTGTGACACTGGAATGCCTGGCTGGCCCAGGACCATGTAGCCATGGCAGCGGTGCTTCTGGGGACAACCTGGGACCATGTGGCCACAGCAGTTGCTGCAAGGAGGTGTGAAGCCAAGTAAGTGTCCTGCCTCATGCCCAGACCCTCACACTCCAATCCCCCTCATTAACTTCCCCCCCACCAAGACCCTGCACCCACAGCTTGCTCTGTCACCCTCCCTTTTTCCTGCACCCTCCCTCCTGGCCAGACACCCTCCTCCCAGGCCTGGCCAGACTCCTACCTCCACCCCCATCCTGCTCCTGCATCCACCGTTGCTCCTACACCCTCCTTCCTGGCCACATGCTGCACCCTCCCTTGCTTCTCCTCCCTCCACCTGGGCAGAAACCATACTCCCAGACTGCTTCTGCACCCTACCTCCTACCCAGACCTTGCAACTTCTCCCACCCAGATCTTGCACCCCCCATCCCTATCCCCCTCACTGGCAGCCCTGTCCCACACACTGAACCCCTCATTTTGTCCCTCCCCCAGAGTCTAAGGGGGTCTATAAAATCCAGTAACTTTGGCACCCCAGAAAAGTAAATCTGGCCTATGGGAAACTCTGAACCTCAGTCCTCCTTGTCCCTTCCTCTCACCCCATGAGGCTGGAGCACCATAATAGTGAGGTGTCTCAGTTGGGGACAACATCAGTGAGGGATGGGGGGTTTTGGAAGAGTTTTTCTTTTGTGCTTCTCATTTGTGTGGTCTCCAGCAGATTTTTCTGTGGGTCAGTGACCCCATACCCAAAAAAGGTTCCCCACTCCTGCCATAAATAAAGAAAACATTGAAACATTTTGTGTTGGACATAATATTTTACTTTATTTAAAATGAAGTTTGATAAACGAACATGAGAAAGTTAAAAAGCTTAATCTGTTTAATAATTTAAATTAAGCCATTCTCCCTAGCTGAAGCTGGTTCAGAAAATATGGTCAGCCCCTGCTCCCTTCCTTCTCCCTGCAGCACACAAATCTATGAATAAGTTAAATCTTGGCACACCACTTCTGAAAAGTTGCCAACCCTTGATCTATCCTGGGGGTTTCCTGGTTTAAAGACCATGCGGGGGGAGGGATGGGTGTATCAGTACTACTGTATGTTAGAGTGGAGCTGTATCAGCCCTCGACTGGCATAAGTTAGAGGAAGTAGTCTGTAGGCTGAGTGTGGGCCAGCAGGGAATCAGAAATCTGCAAACAGCTCCCTGATGACCCTGTCTTCCTTTCCAACTCCCTTGCATCTATCAGAGCTTGGATGCTGGGGAGAACTGAATCCTGTTTGCAAGTCTAGCTTATCTTTCACTGGGAAACATGGTTGGCTTATTGAAAAATTAGGCAAAATGGAGTAAGTTTAATGCTCATTTAGCTTATGGTAAAGAACGGTAAACAAAGGAGTAAATTCTGCCCTCAATTACACACACACATTTTTAGAGTCACTGGGGGCAGTCTGGTCTTCAGAGTTTTGAAGAGAGACGTGTACTTGGTTAATCAAAGTCTGAGCTATTCAGCTTTGCAGGTGTCAGGTGTTGGACCCTGAAGCCTGATCTACACTAGAAAATTAGGTTGGTTTAATTGTATATTGGTCAGGGGTGTGAAAAAATCACCTTGAATACCACAGTTAAGCTGACCTAAGTCCCCATATGGACAGGGCTAGGTTGGGGGAAGAAATCTTCCATCAACCTAGCTATTGCCTCTGAAGGAAGTGGCTTACCTACATGGATGGGAGAATTTCTCCCATCCATGTAGGTAGTGTCTACACAGAAATGCTATTGCAGCACAGCTGAGTCATTGGAGTGTTTTAGGTGTAAACAAACCCTTAAGAAAGAATGTCTCAACTCCAGTTCCATTGCATGTCCCATCTTGCACTGCACTGCACAGCATAATGTGCTGAAACTTCAGTTCCTCTGGCAAAGCTTCACCAAAGATGTCAAGAAGGCGCAAATCGAATCTTAACAATGTTCACTGTCATCTGTGTGGTGTTGCTCCTCCCTGTGTATCTCTGAAGCATTATGAAGTAAGCACAGGCCCGCCTGCCAGTCTGGATCAATAGATCTGGGTTAGCAGGGTGCACGCTAGCGCTCTAAAAATAGTGGTGCATGAAGCACTTTGAAGTTGCAGGGTTGGGACTTGCAACTTCAAAGCACTGTCTGTATAGTTGCTTTTAGAGCACTTGCAAGAGTCCTGTTAATCTGAGGACTGGGACTAGGGGTGCTGGAACAGCGCCTGGCTTGCAGTGGTTTCCATTTTAACCAGGCTTTAGAGTTTGTATTAAACAGCTCAGTACTACCAATACAGGGGCGTACAGGGGCGTAGCCACAAGTGAGCTTGGGTGGGCCACCTCCTCCACATTTTTAGCATCCGGGCCCACCCAAATCTGAGTAGTGCTGCCACAACGGCCCCAGAGCATCACTCGGGCACCTGAAATCCCGATGGAGCTATGTGCCTGCCTTTCAGAAAGCTATGCTCTGGCAGCTCTGTCCTGCTGTTTTTTTGAGCCACCCCATGTATGTGCCCAGCTTGGCAGGGGAAGCCCTGTGTCCAGGGTCACCAGGGCTAGCATTGGGGAGAAGTTGAGCTAACAATCTGTCATCGGCTATATACCAGAGAGTTAGGGTCCACCCAGATTTCCGCTCCTAGGTGCTACACCACTGCCCCACTACACATTTTGTTCCAGCACCTTCCCTGTCAGCCTGGACTGAGAAGTTGTTGTGGTGGGGTATGTCTACACTTGCACCCTCTTTCGATGGAGGGATGCAAATGAAGACATTCAAAATTGCAAATGAAGCTGAGATTTAAATATCCCACACTTCATTTGCATAATCACATTATGGCACCATTTCAAAATAGCGCTATTTCAAAATACAAAATGTGGTGTAGATGAGGTTTAACAGTTATTTCGGAAGAAGGGTGTTCTCCCAAAATAACCGCATCTATACCGTGTTTTGTATTGTGAAATAGCGCTATAGCGTGATTATGCAAATAAAGCGTGGGATATTTAAATCCTGGCTTCATTTGAAATTTTGAATGTCTTCATTTGCATCCCTCCATCGAAAGAGGGTGCAAGTGTAGACATACCCGTGCTGTGTAGGCATTCTTTCAGAGGCCAGAGCAGTGTCTTGGGAATCATTAATAGCACTGTTTCAGCATCCAGTGTGGGAAGAGTGGGAGACAGAGAGTTGCTATGCAAATACCTGGATGCTTAATATGACTCAGGGCTTGTAACCGCATGTAGTTATTAAAGTGCCTCAATTACAAGTTGTGCACTGAGGTATTTGCATGCATAAAGCAAGCTTTCAAATATGTACAAGCGTGTTTGAAAATCTGGCCCTAAATCTCCTTAAGGCCTCTCATGTACATGTTAATTCTTCCTGTCTTGTGAGAGCTGATAGGATCAAGTTGCTAGGTGGTACGGTTGTAGGTAAAAAATTATCCAGATGCCTTCACACCCTGTTTTGCTTTAATTTGCCACTTTAAAGAACCACATGCCCAAGGCTTCCTCACACAAATTTTGTCTGATTGTTAGTTAAAGGCCATTTCTCTTACATGATTGTTGGGTGTAAGAATGTGTGTGTATGGTTTTGGTTTTTTTTTTTTTTTTTTTTTTTGCTGGTCCTTTGCAAGATTGCTTAAGGCAAGTTTTTACTCATCAAATGATCAATTTCATTTAAATAAGGCCAAATAAATTCATACCTTGTGATATGCATATTCATGCACATGTAGCTGGCATCTGGAGTAGTTTTTGTAGCTGAAAAGATGGACTATT